TTAAAGAATACGCCCATACATGGGCTAAGATACTTGATATGATAATATGGGCCGAGCCCAACTTAGGCCAAGCCCAATTTGGACTATAAGGTACACTCCCCCTATAAAAGGAGGGCTAAGGTATTCATTTCCCACATTCTCTACTCATTTCCCTTACTACACTTCCTCTCTCTACACACACTCTCTCTATAAGCATCGGAGGCCCAAAGCCGGGCACCCCTCCCGGGGTCCTTGGCTTTGGGTTCTTGCAGGTACGGTGGCCGTCCGAGTTGGGGGAGCCCGGGTGACATCTTTGTCCCATCAACTGTTAAAATATAATAGCTCAAAAAAATCTCTTTTAGCAATAAATATTTTTTCCGAAAATTTATTTATTATTTTTAGTAAACGTTAATTCTTGTTCTATATATATATAAAAATGGCAAGGAAGGATCAATTGAGCGTTTGGAAACTAAGGAGGGTGTATTCAATTGAGATTTTTAAGGATTTTTTTAAAACTTTTTAAATTTGATGACTTTTGTGGACTTTGTAGGACTTTCATGACTTTGGTGGACTTTTTGAGACTTTCAGAAAATTTTCATTAGTGACCTTTTAAGACTTTCATAATGGACTTTTTAAAACTTATTGAGACTTTTATATACTTACAGTTATAATATTATGTTTGAATAAAATATTAATAAACGTAACATAATAACTAATATAAACAAGAGTAAATGAAAAAAAAAGATGTTGTATATATTAATCCTTTCAAAATGTATAAATAAACTCATTTTTTAGGCGAAATGGGTTATTCACGAACAATTGTTTAGGATTTTAGATTTATTAAATGAGTAAATCGATCCTAGCTTCAACGAGTCGAATCGAGTTGGACCTTATATTTGTTTGTTAAAAGAGTACAAGCTCAAACATGTGTTAGACATCTCTGCTATAACGACACTTATAATCAATCCAAATTAAGATATATTTATTTAATTAGTGATTGATTTTATTTTTTATATTTTTTTGCATAATGTTGTTGTATTAGAAAAATATTATTAGGTTATATTTTTACAAGATACAATCATTGCCGAAAAACAGTAATTGTATCTTATAAAATTATCAATAATATTCAAAACATTTCAATATTAACAAATAAACTATTTAAAAATGAGATAAATTTTTTAATATTTTGAAATGAACATTTATAAATAAAAAGAAAGACCAAATAAATTATTTGCAAGTGCAACTATGGATGGAAGCATTAACCTTTGAAAAGCCAAATTCACAAGATAGAAAAATGAGAGAATAAAGGTATACACACATAAAATAAGCATAATAAAGAATATATAAAATAAAAAGATCACATTAATATATGTAATGAAAATAAAATTTACACAAGGTATCAAAATAAATAAGTAACATAATAGAGCATGAAAATTATATGAGATACAAAGTCGTGTTAGAAAGAAAAAAAAAAAAAGAGCGTGAAAAGATTCACATAAGTCTAGCAAAATCTCACCAATATTGATGAGATTTCTGTTGAGACTTTTCCTTTGTAATTTTGTTACAAAAGTCTCCAAAAGTCTCAAAAGTTAAAAAGTCTCACAAAGTCTTTCTGTTTTGAATACCAGGTGACTTATAAAGACTCTTAGAATGTTTTAATTGGATACTCTGAGACTTTTAGAGACTTATTAAAAGTTATTAAAAGTCTCAATTGAATACATGTAAACTTTTTAGGAGTCTTTAAAAGTTCTAATTGAATACACTAAAATTTGAAAAGTCTTAAAAAATCTCTAAAAGTTGCAATTGAATACACCCCCGCAAATGCAACCTTGAGAGATTTTTTAAGACTTTTAAAATTTTGGTGTATTCAATTAGAACTTGTAAAGACTTCTAAAAAGTTTACCTGTATTCAGTTGATACTTTTAATAACTTTTAATAAGTCTCTAAAAGTCTCAGAGTATTCAATTAAAATATTCTAAGAGTCTTTATAAGTCACCTCGTATTCAAAACAGAAAGACTTTGTGAGACTTTTTAAATTTTGAGACTTTTGGAGACTTTTGTAACAAAATTACAAAGGAAAAGTCTTAACAGAAATCTCATCAATATTGGTGAGATTTTGCTAGACTTATGTGAATCTTTTCACGCTTTTTTTTTTCTTCTAACACGACTTTGTATCTCATATCATTTTCATGCTCTATTATTTTACTTATTTATTTTGATACCTTGTGTAATTTTATTTTCATTACATATATTAATGTGATCTTTTTATTTTATATATAATCTTTATTATGCTTATTTTATGTGTGTATACCTTTATTCTCTTATTTTGGTATCTTGTGAATTTGGCTTTTCAAAGGTTAATGCTTCCATCCATAGTTGCACTTGCAAATAATTTATTTGGTCTTTCTTTTTATTTGTAAATGTTCATTTCAAAATATTAAAAAAATTATCTCATTTTCAAATAGTTTAGTTGTTAATATTGAAATATTTTGAATATTATTGATAATTTTATAAGATAGAATTACTGTTTTTCGGCAATGATTGTATCTTGTAAAAATATAACCTAATAATATTTTTCTAATACAACAACATTATGCAAAAAATATAAAAAATAAAATCAATCAATAATTAAATAAATATATCTTAATTTGGGTTGATTATAAGTGTCGTTATAGCAGAGATGTCTAACACATGTTTGAGCTTGTACTCTTTTAACAAACAAATATAACGCCCAACTTGATTCGACTCGTTGAAACTAGGATCGATTTACTCGTTTAATAAATCTAAAATCTTAAACAATTTGTTCGTGAATAACCCATTTCGCATAAAAACTGAGTTTATTCATACATTTTGAGAGGATTAATATATACATTTTTTTATTTATTTATTCTTGTTTATATTAGTTATTATGTTACATTTATTAATATTTTATTCAAACATAATATTATAACTGTAAGTATATAAAGGTCTCAATAAGTTTTAAAAAGTCCATTATAAAAGTCTTAAAAAGTCACTAAAGAAAATTTTCTGAAAGTCTCAAAAAGTCCACCAAAGTCATGAAAGTTCTACAAAATCCACAAAAGTCATCAAATTTAAAAAGTTTTAAAAAGTCTTTAAAATCTCAATTTAATACACCCTCCTAAAAGTCTCAAGTGAATACAGATAAACTTTTTAGAAATTTTTAAAAGTTCTAATTGAATACACCAAAATTTTAAAAATCTTAAAAAATCTCTAAAAGTTACTATTGAATACACCCTTAAAAAATGATTGACCGGATAGATAACAGAAGGATTATTATTGTAATTGTAATGAACACAAAAGGTGGTTTTACTGAGCCAACAAAACTATAATTGGAAGCTGCCATTATCTGCCTTCTGAGCGAGCACCCACGCCAATTCCGGCCAACGCGCTTGTTTTGCCCTTGCTTTTCAAACCATTTTCTGCACACTCCTTATTCCTCCTGTTCCCTGAATAGATCTGCTCAGTTTCGTGCTCTCGGCGTTGTTCCGTATGCGCGCGGCGCGGCGAGGAACTGCAAAATTCTCCACTTGAATCAATTGGTTGCGCGGGTTGGTTCTCCTTCATCAAGATCAGTTTGCGGCATGATTGCTTTATGTGTTGCCACTGGAGAGCCTATTTCGAAATTTCTGATCTTTTTTCGAATCTGATTTTGGTCCCGGAGGAAAATGCTTTTGAATTTTAACTCCATTTACCCACTGTATCTGTTAGGTTCTGATCGACATGTATCTGTGGCTGGGCCCTTAGTCTCTTTTGCTGGGAGTGGAATCCTTTTTGGGTTCCTGAGGAAGTTGAGTAAAATATTTGGTTTCTTCCCGACGGGGTTGAGGGTTGTTGTGATCAAGAGAAAGAGGTCGAGCAGAATTTCAGTATTTGAGGTAGAAATTGCTGTTTCTCGACCTCGTTATTTTTTTTTTTTTTTTGTCAAATTACTATTGCAAATTGCTGATAGTATTTGTTATCTTCTTACTTTTTCTGGGTTAAGACTGTTGTGGTGTGTGGTGCACTTGCCCGCAAATGGGGCCAATATACTACATACTGATAGCACTGCCTTGTACGATCGGGGCAATGGCGTTGGCAATCCTCCACATTCACAAGCATCTCTTGAATTATACAGAGCCCACATACCAGAGATACATTGTCCGCATTATCTTTATGGTTCCTGTAAGTAGTTTTCTTGCTTTGCTGTTTGACTTTGTGATGGCATTTTGTATTGGATTCCAAGTTGAAATCATCGAATTGTTGTCTAGTTGTATGCTTACTTAGTTTAGAAATTTTTTGCTTGTTTTGAGCAAATAAATTTAGTGCTTTAAATAAGAGGCAGCTCATTTGTTATTATTGATTGGTATGAGAGGCATGCCTAAGATTTCCTGATCTTTGGAGTCGTCTTTTATTAAATAGTTGATTGATTTAGTTACATATAATGTTTTCCTCACTCTATATTCCTTAGGATATTCTTAATACCAAGCAAGAAGTTATGTAGGCGGCATCAGACAACATGTGGTTGTCACTATGTTTTGGTTGAAGCTTCTTGCTCTACCTAAACCCTGCACGAACATCAATTCCCAGCATGAGAAGTCATGCGGTAGGTGATTAGAGTAAACCCCTGATACATTCTTGGCAGAAATAGACTTGGTGGCATAAGTATCAACAATTACCAGAATCATCATTATGTTTTTGTTAATCTATTCCATTTTAACTATCTTAGTCATCTTGTTGATGCAAATGTATTAATGTATTCATCTTTTTTAACTATTGAAGTCTTTCCTGTTGTTGAAATGAGCCGATATATATCCAGATAAACAGTAAATAATGGGTAATTCAGGTAGCAATAAGATACTTCTGGTGAGTTTCAGTAATGTCCGAGTTATCCTTTATGAGAAGGAAGGTGGTGAGGATATTGTGATGTAAACTAAAAAGTTTGGGAATGTTTTTTCTATGCTACATGAGCTACTTCTTATCTTCGGAGAAGGTTTGTCCGTTTGAAGCACATTATTCTTGTCTATCATTCGCAGTTGCAGTCTTCTTAGGAAAAACCTGACTCTGTTATTGGTCTTTTCGTGGTACTTGTGGTGATATGCTTGCTATAGAAGCTTATTTACATAATGGAGGACAATTATGTACTTATTTCTTCCACCAACTACCCATTAGAGGCATGGATTATTGCATAGGCAATAATTGGCTCGAAAGTTGACCTTGGAGTAAACCTAGATATGAAGTTGGATGGGATATGGGGCTTGATATTGGGTTTAGATTACTTGATAATTGATATTTGACTGTTTAAGGCTGTTATTCTTTGCTGTGAACAAGTATCGATTGCCAAAATTAAATGATGATGACGAAGAAAGAAGAAGCAGAAGATAAAGGGGAGACCAAATTTTCATATTGTAAAATTAGATTTGAACAATTGTGTATATTATTGGTGTTGGAAAGGTAATTTTTATATTCCGTATATGCCAAATGAAATATATTTTGGAACTGTTCTACTATAAACAAGGCTTAGCTGGCTGCTCTGTGTAGGGGGCTGAAGACACAGAAGAGGGAATGAAACATAAAAACCCCTAGCCAGTTAACTTTTTAATATTTCAATTTATCCTTTTGTGTGTGTATGTATATATAATATATAATTGTGTTAGCTTCTTAAGATTTTTGTCACTGCTTTATGCTGCTAATTGAGCACTACTAATCTTGAGTAAAAATGACTGTGCCTAAATCGTTTCTAAATTCTTAAAAGATACTATTTATGCCAAATGTTGGTATGCATTGCAAGTAATCATGCTCTCGTTATTGAATTCATTACATTTTGGATTTTGTCCCAATGACAATTACTGAAAAAGCCGTCGAATTTATTTTACTAAATCTACTTATAGATGTGTTCTAATCATCTGCAAATTCATAATTTGACAGGTGTATGCATTGATGTCTTTCTTATCCTTGATCATAAATAAGGGTGCAATTTACTTCAATTCAATCAGAGAAATGTAAGTGTGTTTATCTCATTTTTTTTTGGGAACAACCAAAAACTAGTGAATAAAACTCATTGCTTCCATTGTTTTTGTGGTATGCTTATTTCACTACTATGAATGTCTGCTTCTTTCCTTATTTAATGACGATAGACAACTATAAGAACACTTACCATGAGATCTTACGACGGCATTTGAAGGTAGTGAGATCAAGGAAATGTTTTAGATTTTCTTTTGCTTCTGGATTTTGATGGTTCAATTGTCTGCAGATATGAAGCCTGGGTCATCTATAACTTTTTGTCACTGTGCTTAGCATGGGTTGGAGGTCCAGGAGCTGTTGTGTTAAGTCTGACTGGAAAAGTTATGAAGCCGAACTGGTGTTTGATGACGTGTTGCTTTCCTCCAATTCCATTGGATGGGTGAGTCTTTTGTATGTGGACTACCATTTGTTTGGCCCCGTACACTAGATTTTTGTCTGTAATTCAAGTTATACATTTTATCAATTGACTGAAGGACCGAAGTTGCATGGTACATGTTTATAGTGAAAGCCAAGACCAAGAACAAACACTCATGTGGATATTCTGTTGGATGTTTTTTCTTTCATTTTTCCTTTTGTGTCGTATGCTGTATCATACCATGGTTATATTTATCAAATTGGAGCCTTTAACAACTTCTTCGATTTTTTTATATTGAGGGACAGGTATAGGCTTTTGTAGTTGAACATTTGACTTCAAATATTTTTCTCCATGGTTCTGCCTTCTTCTCCAACTCTGTAATGCATTACTTAAAGTTTGGAAAGGATGTTATCATACATCCTCAACATGAAGGGCCTTAATTTTCTCACTTTCATTTGACATTTGTGAGAATTTAAATATTAAAAAAAAGGGGCTTATTTTTGGAATGTACTTGTATAATTTTATTTCTACTAATTGTTTTACACTAGTTGTTATTACTGCTTAATTGGTGCTATCCATTTTTTCACCATCACTCCTTAGGTCTTTAAGTAGCTTTTTGAAGTGTCCTTTGTATTACTCAGTTATGTACATCTTGAAAAACATTGTGTATTCTGAAATCCTGATGAGTGTTAATAACATCATTCTTTAAACTGTACTATTTGAGAGCATATTCTGATGATTTTGGAAAAATATTCTCCCTCACACATGAATGTTACGCTTTCTAAGCAAACTATTTTTTTTTTTTTGCTCTTTTTGACATGCAGGCGCTTCATACGAAGATGCAAACAAGGGTGTTTGCAATTTGTGATCCTCAAGCCCATTCTTGTCACAGTTACTTTTATACTATATGCAAAGGGGAAATATGAAGATGGGAATTTCAGCCCAAGGGAGTCCTATCTTTACCTCACCATAATCTATACAATCTCGTACTCTGTGGCACTTTACGCCTTGGCTTTGTTTTACGTGGCATGCAGGGATTTGCTTCAGCCTTTCAACCCAGTACCTAAGTTTATTATAATCAAATCTGTTGTATTTCTTACGTACTGGCAGGTAACATAATTGTAAGCTCTTAAAATTGTCAATATACTTATTAACGGTTGATATTGCAAGTCAACTTCTTTTGAAGTAGTAAAGTTGTATTGAACATCCATCTTCTAGTGTTTTAATTGCCTTGATTTCTAGTTTAATTACCGATTTTTTTCATTGCCATTGTGATATCTGACATTGCCACTAGGGACACTGATGTCTTTATTCTTCTTTTGGATCACAATTTTATCGGATGCCCTCGAAGGAACTCGGATATCATATCACGGTGTTATTCAATCACTTGTTGCGAGCTGCACAACACCTTGAACATTTTGAAATTTATACTTGATTGAATTTCTAGACGTGAAGATTTGCACTTGAATTTTGTTCTCATTGCCATAGCAAAGCATGTGTATTTGTTTGGCTTTATTTAAGTTTGATATCTTTTACCCTGTGCCTTTTGCTGTAACCCTTTTTTTTTTCCAAGAATCGTGACTGAATTTAAAGAAGATTGTTGTTGTACGCAGGGTGTTCTCGTTTTCCTTTCTGCAAAATCTGGACTAATAAAAGATACAGAGGAAGCTGCTGAGTTTCAAAATTTCATAATTTGTGTTGAGATGCTTATTGCTGCCATTGGCCATCTTTATGCTTTCCCCTACAAAGAATATGCCGGTGCAAATATCGGTGCTAATCGTGGCCTTACAGCAAGCCTTGCGCACGCTCTCAAATTAAATGACTTTTACCATGATACTGTACACCAGGTAAAAAGAAAGACTACAGATACGATTTGGTCCTTGTTTAGAAGAGAAAAGCGTATAATCTATTTTTTTTTTTGTAGTTTGCACCAACCTATCATGATTATGTGCTGTACAACCATGGGGAGGGTGATGAAGGAGCTAGAAAGTATCGGGCCCGCACTTTTGTTCCGACTGGCCCTGAAATGGATACAGTCAGGAAAAACAAGCATATGTTTGTGAACAAGCCGGACGATGTGCAGTTATCAGTACACAATCAAGCTCCTCAACTGAAATCAGAGGCCCAATACTCATCGTTGCTCAGGGATACGTCTAACCCTTCGGCTTCTGTGCCTTACGATCTTAACTTAATTGACATTGACATTTCAAGTTACCCAACTAATGCACCTTCTCGAACAAGATGACAGACACGACTGTAGAGAAATCGGGTCTTTTAATTTCTCTTTTGATGTCAACTCTTTCTTATTTGGTTGTGCTGACTTTAGGTTTTGTATATGTAATAAGTGGACTATTTTTTATTTTTTATTTATTTTTTT